CAAAATTAAACAATGATAATGACCAATTGATTAGTGAAAATGGTGGTTTGTTATTCTTCTATAACATAGGTTTGATGTTCTTCACTTTTTTCAGAAGACAGTTCAAAATTGACATTGAATCTGAATGAGCTCGTGAACGAAATGTCCAGCTGTAAACACCTTCGAAACAGAAACCATTTGAAAGTGTACATATCTAGTTTTTCCAACCTTTACAGGCGTATCCATTGCTTTGCCTCAGTTGTTATTTTATGCGTGACATTACTGAAAGAGTGCTATACCTCTACTTATCTTTATAGATCACATTGATTTGTTTTTCATTTCGCGCAAAGCCGTCCCTAATTTAGCAGTGAAAGACTAAAGGGAAGGGAGCTAGTCGTCACCACCCACAGCCACCTCTTGAGTTACTCTTTTACCAACGAATAGTGGGATTGACCGTCATATTATAACGCCCCCACGGCTGAAAGAGCGAACATGTTTGGTGTGACGGGGATTCGAACCCGCGACGCTCAGATGGCGAGTCAAGCTTCCTAACAACCTGCCATGCCGGGCCACTTTAATGTATTGTAAAGCGTAGAGTAATTCCTCCTATAAATATCACAACAACGGAATTAAGAAATAAATCTGCGGAATACAGTTTAACTAACTTGAGTGATTAGGAATCGCGAGTTGTCAAGCATAGTATTGTTGAAGTTGTTATTAAAATTGTAGTCTTACACAAGACTCTGCTCCATGTACTCTCATGAAATGACGTTAGGTATAACGAACTAACTCTAAATGCAAAATACTCTTTGTTGTGAGTAAAATGAATGGTTGCAGGCAAACTTAGAATATATAAATGTTAAATATTGTATGGTCTGTTTAAAGTCCCTATTGTTAATGAACTGTATCAGACCCATCGCTAACTACTTGGCTGCAGTAGGCTACTCTTTCCCTTTAATTTCATTTTTAACTGCGCCACAAAATTGTAGGTCGACAAATCAAATTGATTGATTTATTAAAACCCAAGGAACTGTTATAGTAATCGTTCACAAGTGACTACCGTGCCAGTTAAAAAAAAAATAGAATTATGAAAATTCACCTTTTCTATTTTCATTAAGACGTAATCGCATACTACTTACTTCAAGTCCAATTTCTATGCAGTTTCATGTTCCATCAAAATTATTTCCAATCCAATCAGCCTTGTTCGTGGAAATTTTCGTTCTCCATTAGCAACGGTGACAGACAGTCAGCAGAATTTTCAGTAACACAAAGGAAACGACGATGTTAACCTATTCCAATACATTTTTCGGAGATATTTTGTCACTCTCTTGTAATTTGTCATATGTTCTTTTGTACTGACATCATTTTCTTCGCCACTTGGTAAGCCGATTTGGAGATTTACGCAGTGTGTCAGCAAGTCCCTTGAAGTCATTTTCTACAAGTCAGCACAAAGTACAGGAAACTAAACAATGAGCTTTGTTTTCATTTTTGTTGGAACCTCTCTTTCTGTGTTGGCAATTTTGTTATGGAATTACCCAGGAACGTTGTTATGGGTCACAACTTTTCTATGAAAATGATATCATATTTTTTCGTGAGCGAATCAGTTATTCTTGCGAATTTTTTTTACTGACTTCCATTTCTTCTGCAATCTCCCTTTTATCCATCAAGGTATTTGCAAGGCCTTCATTAGTCCTTTACTGATGACGGAAGTCTTTTGCTTTTTTTTTTGTACTTGTGAAAATGTTGAGACATTAACGTGTTAAGATCCTTATTCTGCAGCTATTTGCTGCAAGGTTAATATCACCCAGCAAATCGTGACATACCAAATCTAGTCACAAATTTGAAATCTTAGCATCTCCGCAGCAATTGCTTTTGCTTCGGAAAACGACTTGATGCTACCATCTCCTGCGAAGGTATCTTCCACAATGAAGGTCAAAATAACATAGACTTCTCTCAGCTAGCATCGAAGTGCATAAATAGCATACATTTTACTTTTACATCTCATGTCAGTCAATGGCTTCACAATTAAGTGGGAAACGGGATGTACAAACACTTAACAACGAATTTTAGTTCCAGAAAATCTTATCAATGCATAAGTCTTTCAAGACCAGCTTGCCGATGCTCGTCTTGTATTTAATCATATTTTGGGATCGATTCTCAGTCGAGATTCTAAATCTTTCTAATGTTGAAATACTTCCGATGATCTGCTAAATGTTCACGTTGGCGTTAAAATGTTGATAAATCTTATAGTCCTTCGTGCAGGTTGACGACAACAAAAACGTTAAATGTATCGAACATTTTTCAGCAAAAAGAAACACTGAATGGCAAACTTTCACATACTGGACTCATTGTCTTGGAACAATGTGTGGTGTTTTAATATCCATTCAGTCACATCAGTGAATCTATATCTTTATATAAGTTTTGAAGAATATGTAGCATTGATGCTACTAATTCATTTGTTTAAATTATTCAACATAGTAAAGACTAAATATCATTCGATTTACCACTTATTCTAGGAATTTCACCACTCATCATTAACTCTGAGCAGATAATCTCCAAGTCCTACATAGGTTCACTGTGGTGAGTAAAAGACAACTAAAACCACTTTGTTTACATGATGACGAGACCATGATATCTAATTTAATTGTTGTTGTTGTTTTTAGCGCGAAGCTACACAATGGGCTATTTGGACTCTGTCTGCCGCGAAGAATCGAACTCCAGATTTTAGCGTTCTAAGACCGTAAATTTAACGTTGACCAACTGGGGGGAGCATCTATTTCTATAGATTGAAATTATAATATTATGAGTTAAAACTTCTACAATGAAATAATAATCGAAATTGACGACAACAAAAAATTACTTAGATATCAAAATGTCTGTTTTTTGATGTTTTAGAGAGGTCTTTCGGGAATTTTCTGTTACATCATGCTAATTAGGCCTAATATACATGTATGTTTATTTGCTTATAAGTGACATCTTTCAAAAAATGTTATAATAATAAATAATTCAATTAAATACTTAAAATCGGAAGTTTCAATTTATATTTGTTTAAAAATTAGTCCACCCTCTCTTGTAAAAGAATGGCTCCCATAAGGCTATATATATGGCCCCACTATCAATTTTAACCACTGGAACACACTTGGGAGCCTAGCATATACTAACTGCAAAAAAACCATTGTTTATCTTGTCATAGGGTTATTAAGGGAAAACTGAGGAAAAAATACATGAAATCCTAATATCATTCCTGTAACCACCGGAAAGCACAACTGTAGTGAACAAAAGCACGGATGTGATGTGAAAGACTAAGTAGAGTTGTGAAATATTAAAATCTATAATGTACGTGTTATGCTGTCATTAGAACCTTAGTCGACAGTGTCATCAGATCTACTGCTCCACCATGCAACGTCAGTGATGTGATCTTGAAAGTATCTAAAAACCTTATAAATGTCGGTGGACAGTTGTCACATTTTCCATATTTAGGCATGTGTGCTGGCCAGTCTTGAAGAACATGGTGTGTGAACCTTAGATGTCATAGTATTACGAATGTCAGAGTATATATGATGTCACAATACATATGGTTATTTGGTGTCACAGTTGTTGAGTTTATTCATTCTTCGAGACGTCATATTCATTACGCTATGAATACATGTACGTACCACATTCGTTTTCATATATGATATGTCTTTTGTCGTATTACATATACTGTGCAAATATCATGTTGGTACGTGCATGTGCTCGATGTTAAAGTCGGGTCCATTTGTGTGTAAATGACAAATATTTAGCTGAAATCGATACAATACTCATAATATACACCTATATCTACAAACACATTATACAAATCTTCATACTGACTTAGTGAGAAGTAAAGAGGTACCGGAACTACAGAAAGAACCACTTACTGTTTCTTTACTCAGTACTTTATTGTTCACTAGATTTTAGGGCTAAAGATGATCCATATGGGGATACATCTTTCTACTTTACATACTTGAGTGTCATTGTGCTTGAGCCGAGCGTGACATAATGGTTAGCATGCTGAAATGCAAATCAGAAGGTCCAAGGTTCCAGCTTGGATATACCCTTGAACATGATCCGCACTTTTAGCTCTAGGGAGTGTTATAACCGTAACAGTCAATCCTACTATTACGTTAAAAGTGGTCGTGTAAGCGGCGAGTCAACTGATTGGTACCCTCTCTCTCTATCCAATAATTCAAAATTAGGGGTGGCTATACCACAGCCTTAGGGTCTCTGACCTAGATGTTTAGCCAATGTGTCGTATAAGATGCCTATCAGAACGAAAATAGCAAATACCGTTCCAAAGTTAACGGATTCTTTGATAACTCTAACCACAAGTTACAAGAATGATAGAAGTTCTTCGTTACCGGTTGTAATAGTTTGACTTGAATATTATTCTGGAGTTATGCTAGATATGAGTTACTCCTGAAAGGGTCTGGTAACATGAGTATTAACGAAAAAAAAGAAATATATCCATATGTCTAGTTCACAGATGTTACTTAGTTATATCAAAGCAGTTTATTGTTGTTTTAGCCTCTGTGTACTACGAAATACCCAATAATTATTAACTTTGTCTATTTATGTATTCTTAGTGATATAAGATAAGCAAAATCATTTTCCAGTTTATTTTACAACATTGTTCTGAAATCTTTGGTAGTGCTGTCATAATTAGTATAAATTAATTTGGTAAATTGTATTATTTTACTGTGAATGAAACTATACATGTTATGTTGTTGCGTTTGCAGTGCCTAGTTCTCTTTTGAAGCATAGTCGAATAAAAATTTACGATTCGACCATGACGAAGTTTGCCTAACTTTATACTTGTTTATTTGTGTACAAAATATAGGAAGCCTTATAGTGTAGTTTATATCAAATAAAAAAACCATTAAACAATTAATTCACACATTACTTATTACGTTAGCAATAACTTATTAACCAAATTCAACTCAACCTCTGTCAGTAACTGTTTCTTACGATTGCAAACACATCTTACTTACTTTTTGTCTCAGGATTTGGATCCAGAAAACATATTTACGAAACATGAACAAATTGGAAAAGGAAACTTTGGAGAAGTATTCAAGGGAATAGAAAAAAGGACCCAACAAGTATTGGCCCTCAAAATCATTGATTTGGAAGAAGCGGAAGATGACATTGAAGACATTCAGCAGGAGATTACAGTATTATCTCAATGTGATAGTGCCTTTGTAACGAAGTATTATGGATCCTACATCAAGGTAAACTTTTTGCCTGTTTCAATAGATTTATGATGACCACCATAGCTTTATTAAGACCAGTTCTGTAAAGTGAAACATTGATTCTTGTCATAATTTTAAGACCAATTCTGTTCAGTACTGGAATTACTTCTAAAATGTTTTTATAAGTCTTTACCTCAGCATTGGAGCAAGTTTGGAACTGTTTCTATGGTTTTTATGTTATAATTGGAGCTAGTTTTAAAATGTTTTTATTGTTCTTTTCCTTAGCACTGGAACTAGTTCTCAGCTGTTTTTATTTTTCTTTGCCTCAGCACTGGAGCAAGTTCTGAACTGTTTCTATGGTTTTTATCTTATCATTGGAGCTAGTTCTGAACTGTTTTTATTGTTCTTTGCCTCAGCACTGGAACAAGTTCTGACCTGTTTCTATGGTTCTTATCTTATCCTTGGAGTTAGTTCTGAACTGTTGCTATGGTTCCTATCTTATCATTAGAACTAGTTCTGAACTGTTTCTATGGTTCTTGTCACATCATTATAATAAGTTCTGAACTGTTTCTATGGTTCTTATCTTATCATTGGAACTGGTCTGAGCTGTTTCTATAGCTCGTATCGCATCATTGTAGCTAGTTATGAGCTGTTTCTATGGTTCTTATCTCAACATTGGAACCAGTTTTGAATAGTTTCTATAGTACTTATCTCGGCATTGGAACCAGTTCTGAACAGTTTCTATATTACTTATCTCAGCATTGAAACCAGTTTTGAACAGTTTCTATGGTGCTATCTCAGCATTGGAAGTTCTGTGTTGTCTCTATGGTTCTTAAATCATTATAGTGTAATTAGTAATGTTGTGGTATTGTTATAATAATAAAACGAAAAATACAGTATTTATATGATTATTCTATTATCATTTGAGTTAGATTTACAGTGTTTCTGTAGTTTTTGTCCTAGTGTTAAACTTGTAGTTCTTCCAATAACATTAGAATAGATTTTATAATTTATTTTTGTCTTTACCAACAGTACTTTCAGTCTCATTCAGACCGCATCATTTGTTTCACGGACGTAAAACGATAGTCTTGTTCATATATTGATCTCTAATTACAAAGGATTAGTTAAATAACATGCCCGTAGCCAGGATTTTGTAAAGACGGGTCTGCTAAGTCCCAATATAATAGGTCGGTCACATCATGAATTAAAAAATTTTGATGGCATTTCTTATTAAAAGCAGTCACCATGCTATGTGAACTCTAAAGATGATAAGAATAAAGATGTAGGTGGATGACGTTTCCACTTTTGGACTTGAAGATTATTTTCCAGGCCATAAGGGTCACCGGGGTCCAAATCGGAAAATTTTGAGATTTTTTCAGGATTGTCATCTTTTTGTGCATAACGTTCATAGAAATTAACTTCGCTATAGTCAGAAGATCAACATGTGTATGAAAAAGCGCTTTTGTAACTTGGTGATTGTTCAAACTAAATGAAAGGTTTATATAGCTAAATTTTTCTGTTGTAAACTTTGTTTTAGCAACCAAGTACAGATACAAGTATGTAATCAAACTATGTGACCCTAACGAAATGCATGACATCATTCCTACCTTGTTTCCTTACTTTTGGTGCTCCCATTCCTACTACCTAATTTTGTTATCTACATTTTTTTACACTTGCTTGTCTCATAGCTGTTTTCGCTACTAAGTCTCGAGTGTGACTGGGCTCTAGGCCTATCCTTCTTGTACTTTTTTTAGAGCTATCTCTCGACATTTCCTGGCTTTTTCTGATATCTTTGGCACAGTTTTTTTTTTTTTTAATCTAGCCAAGGTAGCTGCCTTTTCTTTGGCTGGATTAATGGCTAAGACTTGTTTCGCATATTCAATATTACTGTTTCTAACCTTATCTATATTCGTGCAATAATGCTCTCTTTGCTTGGACAAAGAGTTTTCAAGGTTATCAATATTTTAAATAAGATTTTAGTTAGAACTTAGATCTAGAGAATCTACGTAGCCCTCGATTATTTTATCTAGCTGATACAGTTACAGGCTGATCACTTAGTGCGTGCGCATAAACAATCGTGAACATGTACCTGATATGAGAGCGGGTTGTTACTTGACAGCTCACAGAGAGTACTCGCAATCATAGAATATGGCTACTAGTGTATTATTACCTCGTTAGTAGTGTTGCAAAATGGTTATTGTTATTACCAAGAAATCTAAGAAAAACGCTTTTAGCCATGATAGCGTAATTTAGTCATATGCATTTAGATTTGCATAAGGTAATGGCAGGAGAGAGCTATGCCTTTCCAACAACGTTAGTCAGTCAGTCAGATAGTTAGATTGACAGATTTGTGATTTGTGGTTTTGTGAAAATTTTGAATTTATCGACTATCTCAAGTGCTTTGGTGGCTTATCACTCTGTAGTTTGTTTGTTTACTACTCAACAGTGTGTGTAAAATGCTTATAAAGGTTTGTTTACAGTGTGTTTGAGATTTTGATTGGTGTTGCACATATAGCACATCTGACCCATTCTTACTATACGTACTACCGTACTTATGGTATTTTTTGCTACTAAAATAATGTTAGAAAAATCTTATGCCAAAATATGAATTTCATCAGCTTTTGTTCATCATAACTCATTCCACCATCGATACACGGTATACGTTTACAATTTCATGTAAGTAATCTTAAAATATTAAAATTCACGTATAAAAGAAACATGTTTGATTTATGTGATCAGTAAATTAAATATTTAGTTTAATATGTGTAATACTGTCTCATTAAAATCAGTTAAATTTACTCGGTTAAAATTGATTACGCTAATTGCATAGGTAGTATCATTTCTTAACATTCCTCGATGGATTTAATATTCTGTTTATAATTATCAAATTAAGCAATGTCTTCTGTTTGAAATCATCAACAATGATAGATATTCTTTCTTCGTGTGATTCGAAAAGCAAGAAATTACTTGGTTTTACAGATGACGAAAGGAAAAGCACATAATTTCCAAACAAAAGTCTGGGTATATGATTTTGCGAAAGCACAGCGTGAGGAAAAGGGTAGTTTTAATTAGTTTCAAACATTAAAGAAGGTTAAATGAGAGATGATAAAAACTGTGAAGTACCCTTAAAATACAACAAGTCTGTGTACGTGCTTAATACTTTTATCTTACAAGGCTGGAATATTATTTAACATACATGCTATGTTTTAGGATACCAAATTATGGATTGTTATGGAATATCTCGGAGGTGGTTCTGCCCACGACCTCATGAAGGCAGGTGATTTTGATGAGGAACATATATGTATAATCTTAAGGGAAGTATTGAAGGGGCTAGACTATCTTCATACTGAACATAAACTTCACAGAGACATCAAAGGTAGGATAACAGTTATCTAAGATTAATTAAGGGATTTATGAATGTTTTATAGCACCATGCTATTTTTTCTTACTACAAAGAAGTCTTTAAGTTTTAAATTAAAAATCGTATTTACTGGCGTTTCCATCATAATCTTAATGCAGGGGATTTTCCTGATCTATGGTAGCAGTATGAATATTCAACGATCTTGCCCCAAACTATGGGCTATGACTAAGCAGATTAAAAGCAATTCACTTGAAGTATGGTGATTTGCAACTGCAGATGATGCTTAAACTGACCCTTTATTTATAGTTATGTTACAAAACTTTCTGACTTGAAATTATTCCTCGATTAAAAAAGCATGCAAGGCATGGCATTTTAATGTTTCGAAGAAAGGGATATCAGTAGAGTTGGACCGTATCGGTAAAGTAAGAGAAAGCATGATTGCAGCAGTGGTGAAAATGCAAGCTACTCCACGATCAGCTACCAGTTACATACCAGAGGTAATGAAGAAAGTTAAACAACGTGTCATCGGAAGTAACTCAAGAACATATTGGTCCAAGCTATAGTAAGAATTGTAATCAAGACAATACAGACAGATTTAGGTATACAAAAATAAAACGAGAGCCACGTTCTCAAGCTTCTCTAAAATCACATAACCAAACGAAAGATAAGGTGTCAAAATTTGTACGAACTAGTATTTGACAATTAGAAATTTGTTGTCAGATTAGATGAAAAATACGTCTTAAGTGTCTATTGAAGCTGGAGCGACTTATCATCCTACTGGTGGTACAATGTTTCATAAATGGTAAAAAAAAAACATGCCGCAAAGTTTTTCTCAAATTATTTATCATGTTGCAAGTTACAGTTATAACGGCGAATTTAACATTCAAAGAGTCTGGCAAAGTGCCAGTGTGAACTCTGCATACTGTTAGGTTAATGTGCTTCCGTCATTATGCTGCAAGGTTTGTTTGTTTGGTACAAAATGGATGTCAATACGGTATGGCTTAGTCAATACAAAGCATTTAAGTCAACATCCCAGTTCCTCCGCAAGATGAAAATATATATACACAATTTCATGTTGTACTAATCGTAATTATTTCCTGGTATTTCTATAATCTTGGGTTGTTTAAATTAGCTCTCAAAAGTCGTCGTCCGCGCACGATCATTGACTTTGGACAACAATGACCACATTGTGTTGCGCAAAAACCTTCTTTTAGTGGAAACTTTACGTTGCAGAACAACAGTCCATAACCAAGACTATCATATATCAGTCGTAGAAGAAAGCGTTATAAGGCCTGAGCACTGATCCTCGTATCATTGCAGTTATATTGTGAACACCGGTAGTTGTTCATAAGTGCCATCAACCTTTCGTTATTGTCCATACTCTGGTTTCAGCGATTACCAAACCACTTCAGTAACTCTGAGCGTGTTTGTATTTTCTGATTCATAATATTGGTAAAAATAGAAAGAAGTAAAACTGCTATTACTTTATTACTTATTTGTTTTGTAAAAGCAGTAGTAACAAGTGAAATTGTAATTATCTTTTTAGTAAAAGTAATAAGAAATAAAACTTACAGCTTTCTTTTTTTTTTTGGTGAAGAAATAGTAAGAAACATGACTATTATTGCCTTTTTTTCAAAGTCAAAACATTTTGTTTTGTAGTAATACAAACTTTAACAGTGCTTTATATCTGAAGTTATCACTTTACTTTATCTTCCCAATTACTAGTATTTAACAATATTTTTATCTTATCATTCTTAGTATTAGAATGATTTATCTTTTCAGTGACTTGTTATATTCTGTGACAAGTAAAAAAATTACGAAACTTCAAAGGTGGCATGTTAATTATTGCGTTCGACTTTTTTCGTTAATTCTATTTGAAAACGTGTAAAAAAGTCGATCCACTACAATCGCAGTCTTGTTTTAATCGGTTCTGGCGTTTAGTAAATACACATTTAATTAATTGCTCACAGAATGTTTGAATGGATTACAATGTAAAAACTTAGCACTTTTAAATAATTACTCATAGAATGTTTGAATGGATTACAATGTAAAAAGTTGGAGGATATTTTTATTTGTTTCAGATATTTGCGTAAAGCTACACATCGGATATAAGCTTCAACAGTTCCTAATTTTGAATTGATAGACTAGACAGAAGTAAACTAACCAATAGCACCTACCAACAACTCATGGGATACTTTAATCAAATAGCGGAATATGACTGTCACACTTATAACGCATTCACAGCACGAAAGTGCGGAATGCGATTTTGAAGCAACAAGACGCAAACCGTGAACCATCGAATTAACAGTCCGGCGCTGTAGAAATTGTATCAGACGACATAAATAATATATGACCGGGTATAGTATCTCAGTACAAGTAGCGATGAAATATTCAAGTCTGTTCTCAATATTAAAATATTAAGTATTCCGTACTATACTGAAATACTTCAGTCGGTTTTGCTTTTTTCCTATGCTGTCATTATAAGAAATTTAACACTGTATGCCAAGCCACATTTTTCAGTACATTATTATGCACTTATTTAAACGATATCACTTGAAATTATGCTAAACATTTTTTCGAATAGATTTAACGGAGTATATAGTCGATCTTAGCTTGTGTTCTTCACCAGGTGGAATACTTTGATGAGTACAATTGAGTGCTCGACAGCTTATTTTTCAAATAAACCTCAAGATGTACGTGAAGTATTGGCCTGTAAATGTTTTTTTTACGTGATTATTATCTCAGAGAGGCAATATGATGTTTATTGTTGTCTCAGTTACTACAATCAACAATATTTTTAATTCTTATTACCGATTTTAGCACATTTTATCTTCTAAGCCACTAGCACTAATATTTGTATAAATTATCTGTTTGCATTGCGAGCCGTGCTATCATCTTGTTAGTGTCTGAGATTAACAACTCATTTTTTTACCTTCTTATTTATTGGTGTTAATAAACGACTGTATTAGCAATGTTTTATTTTCTAAGTAAACAGTATTATTATTAAGTTTTTACTACTGAATTTTATTAATCAATTTTTTTCATCCAAGTAACTAGAATTACAACGATTTTATCTTCTGAATGACCCATAAAGAAATTTTTCTATTTACTATTGCTAATGTGAAAACCATCTGTATCTTCTCGTTACCAGTGTAAGTAATACTATCTTTTTTGTTACCGGTATAAGTGCCGCCATTTTTGTCGTCATTGCCTATATCTTACGCTATCAGTGTCAGTAGAACTATTTTCTATATTACCAGTATCAGTATTGCCATCTGTCGTTTTACCAGCGTAATTAATGCTATCTTCTGTTTTACAAGCGTAAGTAATGTATTTTTCCTTTTCGCTGTAAACAATGATTTTATCTTATAGTGATTAGTTCCAATCTTTATTTTTCGATTATACAGAATAAAGTAAAGCAATAAATGTGTAATACTATGTTAAAAAAAGCGAGAGAATTGTATCATATTTCTATGATAAGCCGTTAAAGAAAACTTGTTAAGTGGTACAAATTGTGCTCCGCTGTTATTTTCATGTTTCTCTTCGCAAGGATAAAACTGTAGTTTCAAGCATGTCATGTGTTAGACACATGACGAAACAAAAACTGATGTAAACTGTATTACAGTATTTCCTTTTGATTAATGTTAACAAAGTACTATTCAATCTAAACAATGTCATCCCAGCGGCTAACATCCTGCTGTCTGAAGAGGGAGACGTGAAGCTAGCGGACTTCGGTGTGGCAGGCCAGCTGACTAACACACTAAAAAGGAGGTCACTCGTTGGAACTCCGTTCTGGATGGCTCCAGAGGTCATCAAACAATCTGCATATGATAGCAAGGTTGAATTCTGTTTTTATTTCTATTTTTTAGGATGCGCCTGCACTCTTAAAATAGCATAACTTTTCTCGTCTTTCTCTGCAACATTGATTATGTGTACTTCTCATTCAAAAAGTCTGCCATGTTTACAAGAAGAAGAAAAAAAGTCATAGGGAAATAAACATAGTCTTGATTAATTAAAATTTTACCTGTAAGTAAATTTTATAAACTAGGATAGACCTTAAGTCCATTTATAACTGCAAAAAATTATATTATGCATAAGGTGTTTCTTTCTAGCGTACTTGGTAAGATTGTTGATGTCATTTTAGCAGTGCAAAATTACACAATGGGCTATCTATTTGTTTTTCACTGCGAAGAATCGAAACCCGGATGTCAGCGTTGAAATCCATAAACTTGCCGCTGCCCCACCGAGTGACGTTTGACAAGCAATGAAACTTATATTTCCACAATTTATCACACTAAATAAAGATTCATTGAAACAAAGTTTTCAAATTTATCAGCTGGATTTGGAAATAATCAGGAGGTAATTCACAATTGAGCCAACACTGTGCTATGAAATAAAAGATCTGTTTAAAGTGGGAGAAAAAACGCTTTATTTTAAATAAGTGGATTGTCATAAAGCGCTTTAGAAATTTTCCTTCTTATTTTTCATTTTCTTCTGATAGAATCTGTTCAGAAATGTTCATGCACACACTTTTTTGTGATATTAATAGTTATTCAAATAAATAAGAACAACTTGGTGAATAGCTTTATAAGATAGTAATATAATACATTCCTGCCGAGAATATAACGTAAAACGAATTTTTAAAGTGCATAACGGTATTAAACCTTTAATTATAAGCTTTAAAAGTACTTTTGCAGTAAAGTATTAATAAAAGAATATTTCCTGATTCACCCATTAGGCAGACATCTGGAGTTTGGGTATCACAGCAATTGAACTAGCTAAGGGAGCACCCCCAAACTCTGAACATCACCCCATGAAAGCACTTTTCCTTATCCCTAAGAACAATCCACCACAGCTTACGGGCAATTTCAGTAAACTGTTTAAAGATTTCGTAGAGGCGTGTCTGAACAAGGATCCTAAAAATGTAAGAATTCATTTTTGGTTTCTGTTTCCTAAAGAAGCAATTTATGATATGACTACATCATTCTATTCTATGCATGTTTGATTATAAAGAAACCCCGATACTTAAAGAGATCATATCTTTAAAACTATTCGTCTAAAGGTAAAATCATCAGAGGCACATTGAGAATCATACGTTTTATCCAGGAAAGTTTGTTAATGGTTCATGACACATCAAAACCGAGTTATGCCGCATACCTAAATCGTTTCTCGCGAAAATTAGCAGTGTTTTCGCTCTCTTTCAACATTACAAGATTAATGATTGGAATAAGCTAAGAGTCACTTCACTGAACATTAGAAAGTCAGCTTATTGTCAGAGTCAGCTTATTGGACATTAGAAATTTAATGAGCACTGTCAGAGTCAGTTTATTGGACATCAGAGGGTCAATGAACACTCTCAGAGTGAGCTTATTGGACATTAAAGGGTCAATGAACACTGTCCAGAACATATGATGCTTTCAATAGCTTCATTTAAAATGAAGCTTGACTTGCTGATTTAGAATTATGGTAATCATACTGGATATATTTTATGAGAAATTTTTAAAACACCATAACCATGGATAAAACTTGTGATTCTGAGTATACCTCAAGTGAAATTTTGTTCCCCAAGCACGAGTAATTACTAAAGGTATTATAATCTTCAATATGGGGGTTATAATCAACATGTAGAATACATAAAAATAACTATATTTTTTTAAAACCTTTATGTTTTGCAGCATAACAATGATCCATTGAATTTTCTAACTAAACAGGCTACGTATTTACATAAAAAGCGCGTCCATTATTATTATTATTTTATTCATAGCGACCAACAGCAAAAGAACTTTTGAGGTATCCGTTTATTCGAAAGGCCAAAAGAAATACATATTTAGTGGACCTTATTGAACGATATAAAAAATGGAAGATGTCTGGTGGAGAACAAGAGGATAACGAGTCTGAAACATCTGAATCGTAAGTTTAACAAAAATGATCAAATCCTATAATTGTCTAATTTTATTCTATGTAATATTGTCCACTATTAGTGAGCAATAATTTGTTCTTTTATTTGAATTTATTATTTCTCACTTGGAACGAAAAAACAAACATGTATTGATGAATATAAAGCAAATTATGTTAAATCATGATGCAGAAAGAAGATTTTAGGTAAAAATACCTATGAGGTATCAATTTCATTTTATTTGTATTTTTTTTTTAGATTTTGATTGTCATGGATTCTAGATGTTTCACAAAATCTCGAAGTCAATTTGGCAATGCGGTGGTAGTAATAAGCAGTTTAATCTTTTTTAGCGCCATCTATAAAGCTGAATATTAACATGTTTTTCGATTTATATTAAGAAGATAAATTAACTTAAGTGTTTTTGATGTATTCCTAAATAATAGTTCTTTTTTAGGTTTATGTCAAACTTTTTTCACGATATTAGCAAAAAAAAAAAAAGACTACTTGAGGTATAACAAAACTAAAATAAACTTCCATCATTTGTTTTCAAGGGAAGGCCGTAGTATTCACACCTGCGAAAGTTGGCAGTGGGATCTAGGGACCGTTAAACAGTCTGACCATTCTTTTCGGCAGATGGAAGCACCATCGAAACATCATCAGAATGGAACCGTGGTCAGTAACTTCACCAATGTTATTCATGAAAGTGCATCAGAAAAATATTATCATTCACGAATAAATTCAGTTCAACGACAGATCAAATAAGATTTTCGTACAATCATGGTATTTATTTATAAGCTCAAGGCAACATTTTCTGCGATTCTGAACATCGAAAACAGAACATTTAGACTTCAAGATATTTTCTAACTGACTGATTACGGTTTCAATTGAGGTTCTAAATGCTACCTGTTTGACTACTTAGATAAAAGATTACTTAAAGCTGATGTCAGTGAATTAATTGATGGTAAACAAACTAGTGGTGATTTCAAGGTCCTTGTTGGTTTGTTTTGTACCAAAGCCACATTGGGCTATCTGCTGTGTCCACCGCGGGTAATCGAACCCCATCATTTAGTGTTACAACTCAGTAGACTTACCGTTGTCCCACCGGGGGAGTTTCAAGGTCCTGTGCAAAAGATTAATGTCGGAATACTTACAATTAAAGAAACTCATTTCATAAAGTTTAGACATTAGTTCACTCTAACACTAGCATAAAAACTAGTTTTGAAAGCTGCAATGTGTAGAAGTATAATGATAGACGATGTTACTGATATAACGTATCTACTAAAGATGGATGAACTTTTCTGAAAGCTATAGCCGTTTGTAAGTGTAAGCACGAGTTAATTTCCTTTTTCTAATATCTACCATTTTACATCAAACGAACTGTAGGCAATCAATAATTTTTTAAATCCTTATTCATTCTATCCAACACTTGATGTCACCTGCTTCAGCCTATATAATTTCTTCGCTACACAGTGTCCAATACAAATTTTACTGGTATGATGACTGATATTTTTCTCCAAACAGGTTATTAATTTCCAGAATAAATGTGCTGACGTAATGGGATGATTATTAGATATGACAGTGTGTACGTTGTATGAATAAATGTGCTGACATCATTGACTGGTTATTGGATGACACTGGTGTGTTGTATGACAAATTGTACTGACATCATTGCCTGGTTAATGGACATGAAACTGTGTATTCTGCTTGAATAAATGTGGATATCATTACCTGGTGATTAGACATGACGCTCAGTATACTGCGTGAATACATGTGCTAACACCATTACCTGGTTAGTGCATGTGACGTAAATAAGTGCACTAATATCATTTCCTAGTTAGTAAATATGACAGTGTGTATGTGGCGTGAAAAAATGTGCTAACATCATTGTCTGGTGATTAGGTATGACTCGCTGTGTATGCTGTGTGAAAAAAGTATGTTGATATCATGGGCTCAGGGTTAGACATGATACTGTCCGTATTGCGTTAATAAATGTGTTGACTCATTGCTTGGTTAGTGGACATGACACTTGTGCATGTTATGTGAATAAGTGCGCTGACATTATTGTCTGGTGATACCCACTGTGTATATTACGTGATATTTTATGGATTTAAACATGAAAGTACAAGACAAGGACAAAATGTGTGGGTTTCATAATCCAGCAGTGAGACTTTAGTCTACTAGAAGGAAGTAACTGGTCTACCAAGTATATAATTGTAACATTTGTAAATTACAGAAAAAAACTAATACAATTATATAAATAACTGAAATACATATGGGAAAAAATTAAACTTTGTTAAACAAATGTTTGGTAAATTGGTTTTACTGATTGTCATATGTTTAACTTAAGAAATGAGCAGCTTTTTGTTACACCCCTAGTGTTCGTTTTATTATTATTATTTTTTACTTTAATGTTTCATTCACAGTATTGTTTATACTATAACTAAGTAGTATTGACTATTCTCCGTAGTCTGAACTTGTCGATGATCCATCAGCATCACCGAGCAGGCTAAAATTCAAGAAAGGGATTTCTCGAGAATTTACAAAACAGAATCTATCTTCAAATTCCAAAATTCCAAATGAAACATTTATAAGAAATAATGTAGATACAGGAGTAATAAATAATTCAGCGAGTTCTGAAGACAAAGGTGGATTATACATAAATTCTGACAAAGGACTAGAAATCAAATCCGGCTTGAGTAATAAAATCATCAACAATGAAAAGACAGATGCTAAAGTTGTATCCAGAACTTCATCATCTTTGAAAAAATCCTTGTCTTTTAAGAAACCATCTTGTCTTTCAACAGTGATCCGTCCACTAATAAGCGAGGTAAGATATCAAAGTAAGCATAAATAGAGAGTTTCATTATTAAGTTTTTAATAAATCATAAAAAACAAAAGTCTTATGTTTCTCAGTTGACAAGTTCTGGTATAGAACAAAAGTTCTCTTGTATAGTGATTTCTGAAAGGTAAAGATAGATTTGAAACAATATTTTTACATATGCCCCACAGTGGCTTAGCGGTAAGTTTGAAGGCTTATAACGTTAGAAACCTGGTTTCGCTACCCGTGGTGAGCATACCACAGATAACCTATTGTGCTTAACAATACACAAACAAAATTTTTACATACCTCTGATTTAGAATCCGAAATGGGAAAATTAAGTGGAATATGTATATATATATATAATATTTGCAAGTTGCGCGACTTTTTATCGAAAATTTTAGGCTTATTGGTTTCTAATGGTTTACAAGCTTTGAGATTCAGCATTCAAACCATAACGTTAAAATAATAGCTAATATTTTATTTCGTAAACAAACAAACAAAAAACCTACAAGTACGGCAGTGGTGTAGTGATTAGGCTTCAAAATCATTATTATTTTTTTATATATTATCTGATTATTTCTCAATCTCCAGCTCCACGAGAAATACCATGCTTCTGGAAAGACTCAAGATGATGAACTACTTAATGCTGTTGAAGAACTTCATGGCGCTTTTGATCTTGCTGAAAGGTCACATCCAGGGTTTAGTGATATGTTTGTTTCAGAACTTATTTGTCACTTACAGCCTAGTGTTTCTTCCCATACAATACATGAGACAATGGAGAAACTGACAAGGTAAATAACAAAAGGTAAACAGCAAATATTCATGTTCTTCATCCCTAGAATTCAATCAACACAGCAGAACTTAATAGTTGAAAATAATGTTTTTTATACGACAAGGTAAATTTAAGAGACGGTTGAAAGCACTAGTATTACTAACACTAAAACGAAAAATCAGTGTCTGTAGATTTTATAAAGATATGAAACATCAGTAATATCAATTAGTTATACTCTTTATGGTGTTCTAAGATTGCAACAAGATTATTTTAGGAAACTAAAATAATTTACAGCTAAAATCTTTATTTATAAACTTGCTAAAAAACAAGATATTGTAGAAGTAAAACTAATTTCTTACAACTCACGTGTTTCACTTTCTGAACGTATATGTTTTCTGAGAGTAGGAATAAACTATTCATCTCAAAATAATTACAGTTACAGCAAGATATATCTGTATTTTTTCCTCACTCTGATGAGCAAACATAAATTTCGCAGGATCGCTTAGGGCGGTACTTCTTCTGTATTATGGTAGAACGAAAAACTAAGATCTTCACTATGTACTAATTAAATAATTTGTTTATAGGACGTATGGTAATTTTTAACTAACCTATTAGAAATGCGTTTCCATATTTTACGAAAATACCCCAAAATGTTTGCCAAAATCGGTCATGTATAATCTTTATACTTATAGTTTGTTTGTTTGTTTTTGAATTTCGCGCAAAGCTACACGAGGGCTATCTGCGCTAGCCGTCCCTAATTTAGCAGTGTAAGACTAGAGGGAAGGCAGCTAGTTATCACCACCCACGCCAACTC